AAAAACTGATGCCATTGTAAGCTGAAAAATCGACGCTTACACATTTAATCCAAAGGGTAACCCAGCGTCTACATGGCAGAAAATTTGATAGAGGAAAACCCTCCTCCAAATTCTACTCTTACCCCCCCCCCCCCCCAAAAAAAAAATAAATATTTGCCAACCCACGATGCTATAGTGATATTAATAAAAAGAATCTTACAGTATTTGATTATCAATTTTTGGATTTAAAATATAATACAAGTCAAAAATTACCCTCCAAAAATCAATACCTATCCCCCCCCCCCAATAATTAATGCCTACCCATCTAAAGTCAATATCTACCCCCCAAAATCAATACCCACCCCTCAAAATGCCAATATATTTTGGAGGCATTTGTCTCCTATCCTACCCGGCCATGTAGACACTGGGGTAATCTACAAAAAGCAAATAATCCTTTAGGAGTCGTTATCGTAAACAATTTACGAATTTCCTCCATCAGAGATAGCTGTAAATACGCCAAAGAAAAATCATCTTTGAAAAATATTTTGCACCCTTCAAATTGGCAAAAATTTCCTCAATTCTAGGCAATGGATATTTTACTTCCACAACCCCTGGATTTAAATAAATTTGGAAATCGGCACACAGCAACTTTCCATTAGATTTTTTCACTGGAACCAACGGTGTAGCCCATCACTATATTCAATCGGAATAAAAATCCAAACATTCACCCATTTGTCTAATTCGTCTTCTATTTCCTTTTTCCATTCAAAAGGTTGGTGAAAAATCTTCTTTAAGTTTAACGTCTACTTAATAATCATTAAGACGTCATAACATTACCTCAAAAATTATAATATATTTTAATGAAAATATGTATAACATTATTAATGTAATTTAACTCATTAATTTCAAATTTATCATTTGATCTTTATCAATTATAATATTTATTTTAGAGCTACTTGGCTCTATCATTACTTTTACCGGATATTCAAGTATATGATTATTAACGACAGGACTTTTCCTTCGTTCAATAAATTAGAACACTCAAGTTACGAGAACAATGACATGGTTCATTTAATCATATAGTCATTAAAATTTTTATATGTTTTAATCGGCTGATTTATATTATTCTACCTGAAAAATTAATTTCATTAAAATCTAAATTCATGCATAAATTCAGCTCGGAATTTAGAGGCTTTTAATATCATTAATATATTTTTAACAATAACCATAAGGATATTTTCCCCATTTAAAATTATTATAACCTTTTTTATTCGGATTACAATATTTAACATTTTTCATTTTTTCAACATGATGATAATACAAATTTCAATCATAATCACTCCTCTTATGAGTTATATTTCATTTTACAGACATCATGCATTGAGCCATGGTATCCTTAATTTATTATATCCTCAGGATTTTTCACCGCATTATATTTATTAAAAAATATATTATTATAATTCACCAGTTTCTCGACCATTATATGATTAGATCTGCAACCATATAGTCAGTTTGCCTTATTTGACACAATTCATGGCTACATGTCCAGATTTTTTGTATTTTAAACAAAAGCGCGAATCATCATTATCTAATTCTAACACTTCAAATTTATCGTGGTGCTATCTGAAATTTTTCTTACATTAGAATTCCCCAATACAGGCATTCTTTAAGGAGAACCAACACAAAAATTTGTTGTTTTACGATGCATGTTTCAGCTTTATGCCCCTTATAACGACATCGGTAACTAAAATATAGGTGAGAATAAACTGGAATATATAAATTATTTGATAGACAATTTAATTCAGGTATGAACATATCAAACAGCTAAATAAATCTAAACAAAGAAAATAATGAGTTATATTTCATATTGAGCGTCATATTTTTATGCTGTCTTTGTTTCTTTTTACCATCCTTTATATATGATATTTATTTAATATGTTAATATAAAATAATAAAACAATCATTTATTTATCAACGTTAACAATTTTAAGTTAATCGCTCGAAGTGTTAACAAAATAATAAAAAAATTATTAAGCTAATAGATAATATTATAATGTAAAATAAAAGAAATAATAAAAAATCAGTCCGTAAAGTAAAATGATACTTTAGGGTAAATGGAATATATTAACATTCCACCCTCCAAAGAAATCCGGCATAGATTTTCCTTGGACATGTAGAGTGGACTAACAAAGTGTAAATCATTGTTCATACGAGTCCCTTGACAAAATCTGTTTTAGCCAAGACCATTTCCACGGGTTGTACCTTGCCCTATGGTTTTGTTGCCACGCAATACGCCATTAATGTTCATCAGGGCTTATGATGTCTTTAAAGCCAGCGCACAATCTCATGGTGCCATCTCTCTTAAAAACAGGTGTCAGTGGACTTGCCCATCTGACTTGAAATACAAGATCTATGATACTATCCTTTAGCCAAACACCCAACTCACGAGTCATTGCGTCAATATTGGTATATGGTACTGTCCTAGGAGATATGATTCTAGGCACAGCATCATGCTTCAAGTGAATCTTCACGTCTAATCATTTTGGGGTTTTGGAGCGTGTTGACTCAAGGTTTTTTTCATTGTCGAAATCGCCTTCTCAAGATCATCGTCTACATTACCCACAATGAATGATTCTAATATATTATCGAGGGCATGGGACGATACACATCATAGCAGGGGGCTGCCATCGTACACTGTCAGCCTCATATCAGTCTTGCGTGTCGTGGCTATGCCTACAGCCTTAGCTGTGTGCCTCAGTAATATCGTGTACCTGGTGCCGGTGTCCACTTGCATCAATGTGGGTATGTCGTTGATGCTCATTGTGATGCTGTATGCATTATATCTCATGTCAATGACGCCCAAATTTTCCACTTCCAGACTCTGAAGATTGTACTCTGACGTCTGTGTTTATGACATCCTCATCATAGATTTCTTCGATGTTCATAATATTGATGGTGTCCGATTGAAAAGAACGATCTTTATGATCATAAGGTTCTAGTTGTCATTGTTGTAATGGATGAGCCTAGGCGAATATTTCGGAAAACCATTGCTGTTTTGAGGGTTATGTCTAAGATGAGCGTAACGTGTATGCCCACCATGTCTTTTAATGTGATGTGTCCATTTATCATCTCTTATATTATGCCATGTGCAATTATTGAGCATTTGTATTTTTTTGGTTAATATTTTGAAATTGAAAAAATAATTTTATGACAAGAAATCTAGGATAACCTAATTTGCTAAACATCGACCAAAATTTATTAAAATGTAATAATAAGACCCCCCCCCCCCCCATTATTATTTAATATAATATGTATTAATGAAATCATGAGGTCGAGTCCGATATCATAAACCAGAAATCATTTGGTTATGGATGGGCTTAGTAAAACAATATTAAAAAAAATTTTTTTAGAAGCAATTGCTTCAGACCCCCCCCCCCCCTCTGTAGGGGCCTCTGATACATCTTGGTATATAACCTTGATTACATCTTTCAATTCTTTTAAAGTAACAAACCGATCTAACCATGAGGTTCAGGGGCAATAAAAATAAAAGCAACGGAACATTCTGAATGATCATCAATATTTACATTCAATTAACCACTTTTAGTTCATTCTTAATTTCATTTAAAATATTTTCCAATTCCATTATTTTATTCAAATAATTATCCGATGCAACAGAATCTTTATTCAATTCATTAAATATTTTTCAAATACACATGTATTACTACTTTTACCCTGTTCCTTCAGTTTCTTGAACATCATATTTAATTCAACATTAATATTGTCCATTTTACTAAAAGAAACAGTTTCAGATTTTTTTCTACATTTCTTTACCAAATGTTTACTAATTAGGAAGATTATATATAGTATGAAAAACAAAAACCTATAATTAAATTGTTAATTATATCACATTTCTTTTTAAGTACTTTATAATACAAATCTTTATGGAGTGAAACCTTGCTAAACATATCAGACCTATTATAATTAAAAACCATGGCAGTTTTCTTTTAAAATTACCTTACAAAATTTTTCAGTAGCTTAGTTGTGTTTGATTTTTATTTTAAATGTATATATAAAAAAAAAACTTGGGCGGTTTTGGTAAACCACAATTACCTGGGCTAACAATCCTGGTCAATCCCGTACCAATATCTTATTCCTGTCTTATTACTTTGCTCACTTAGATTTTCAATTAAGCTTTATAATAAAGGAGGACACGGTTCAAATCTATTAAACTTTTTATTTATCAATTTTTCAGTAAGTCAAAAATAATGTTTTTTATATACAACAAATTTTATCCGATAATTTAATAATGAATTTTATAATAATTCAAAATAAACTTTACATCATCGAAAAAATTATATATTTTCACATATCAAGATAATCACATTATTATTATTTAATTCCGACTAATCAACAATACGCAATATTGTTGATTGACGGTTTCCTTATAATAAAATATACTCTTAAGCCTAGATGAAACGGGGACAGCCCGGTTCGTATAACTGGGCTAAGTGGAGATTTGGTCCGAGCCTGCAACTCTCTGATTTAAATTATGATTTTTTGAGAAAGGGGTCATTGTTGTAAAAGAACTGCAATGTTTAAGCTAGATATCTGCAAAGTTAGGCATATCGGGTTCGGGCCTAATATTTAAAAAAAATCGGGCCGGGTCGAACCTTGGAAATTTTTTCAAATATATCTAAATTTATCAATTTTATATTGAATTTTTTATGTAAAATAAAAATATTTGAATTTATTTATTGAAACTAAACAACATATAACATATGTCTTTTATTTTGAGTAATTATAAAGATTAATTTCTATATTTAAATAAATTAGGGCCGGGCTGGGTAGGTAAATTTTTTTAACAAAAAAATCGAGTTCGGGCCGGGCCGGCAAAACTTTTTTTAAAAAAAATTCGGGCCGGGACGGACTTTAAAAATTAGGCCCGATGCAGATTAAGCTATTTTTTTAAAAAATATGATATGATGTAAGATATTCAAAAGAAAAAAAATACCAAAAAAAAGAAAACGAAAGTAGAAGAGGATTACCAAAAGCAGTTGATAGATCAGAAGAAAAAACAAATAGACACGGAGAAGGAAAAAAAGACCAAAGAGGAAGCCGAATCAAAGGCTAAAAAGGAAGCCATGAAAGCCCGGGCAGCTCATTTCGAATAATTTTGCCAAATAAACATTTTTCTTGGGAAGATATTTTAAAAAAATTTTCGAATTTAAATTTTTTTTAAAGAATTTGTTAAATTTATTATTAGGGCGTATAGCAACAAGGAAAAATTATATTAATTTTTTTAAACATACGATCGCTAAAGTATATCCATACTTTTATGTGTATATGTACTATGCCTTATTATATTTATATAGAATCTATGTAATGTAATTTACCAACTTATTATTCTTTACACTTTGTAAATTATGATTCCCGCACGAATAAAAGGGTAAATAAACCATATCAAAAATCGCATTTATCAGATTTATAATAAAGATTTTCTCTACTAATCTTTAAGAAATTTTATTGAACTTTTTCCTTTTTATCGAAGAAATTATTTATTATAAATAATTGATTATAACGAATTGTCAATCAATTTTTGTATATTTTTAATTAGTTTATTTTTATATCTTTTAAAACAAGAAAGTTTTTTAGAATTTTAATATAAAAAGTATTTTTTTGTTAATTTTAATTAAAAGTAAAAGGTTTTTACCATGAAAAAGAGGAAATTATTTGTATTGATTATAAATTATTAATTGTGAAATGAAATTTAAATAAAAGTCGTGAAACATGAAAATTCGTAATTTAATATTAAACAGGGCCCATAACTTTGAAACGTTTTATAGTGAATTTTTTGAATTTATTTTTATTTCGTTAATGTAATTGCATAAAAATGATCACATAAGCAATGATGTTTTGATAAGCATATATATATAGGTTATTTTAAATGCAAAACCAAAAAACCTATTTTTTGCTTTGTTTCCGAGCCCTAGATATAGGGTTTATGGTTTCAATGATAATATAGAGCATTGTTTCAATCATTTTTATTTAATTAATAAACAGATAATAATAAACTTTTTAAGACAAAGAAAGATACTGAGGAAATTTACTCATTTTTTGTTCATTTAAATAAATAACATTCTTCGGATATTCCCAAAGTAAAATCAAGCAGATACTTATAGCCATTTTACTAATATCAAACTTGATCCCACCAAAATATAGATATGGGCTAGGCTTAGATTTAGTTTATATTAAAAAATAATTTCAGTATGAGTTACTAAATAATTTATAAATATATTATCCGCAACCGAGAAATGGCAAAACACCTTATTCCATTTAATAACATATTTTATATATTTTTTTAATAAATTTAACAATTTTATTTATATATAAAAGGAATAAGTCAACATGTTTCGAATTGAATATAAGAATATTTTAAACAAACAAACGTTAATAAAAACAGGTATTTACAACATTTAATAAATCAATCTTTTTCAAGGTTATTTTGATTAGATTCGGGATTCTTCGTTTTAGACGTTGAGACTCTAATGTGAGTATAAGTGACCTTCTTCTTATCGGAGTTTGAATTATCGTCTTTTTTATCGCTCTCGTTGCTACTGTGATTATGATCGTTTTCTTATATAGTGATAGTCAATTTTATTATTTACTTTATTTCTCTTTCCCCCTAAACCCATTCTAGAAATATTAACGACCATTCCGGTCTGGGCGATAAACTATATTTAAAAACATAAATAAAATGGATTTTAAATCTTATAATTAGGCTTATTCAATTTAAATCTCGTTTTGTGAACCTAAACCCAACGCCGTTTCCTATAAACCCGATCTGAACCCATAAGAAAAATTTGGGGTTCGGGTTCGTGCTAATTTTTTTAAACAGTTGGGAACTCAAGGCCAAAATCTTTTAAAAATTATTTTGTAATTTTTTTGTTTAGTTATATTTTTTTTGAAAATTTTTGAGAGGGCTCTAAAAAATTTTGATAGGGCTCGTCCGGTTCTTGAATTTAGACATTGGTCGACCCATACTATTCCAAAATTAAAACATAGTATAAAATATTAAACAAATAAAATTGTGAGTAGAGGAAACTGGGTTTAGGTAAACCCCGATGCTAGAGGCAAACCTTTTAATCTCATTTTAAAAATAAATAGACTAGAAGGATTAAATTTTATCCTAATATAGATTTTATCGGTATGCATTTACAGGCATAAAATCTTTCGAAATAATAGAATTTTAATTTTTATTAAGTTATATAATATCAGAAATCTGCAGGCCCGGCACTAAACCCGGGTATACAAGCCGGGGGCTATATATTTTAAAACAAAATATTTTAAATCGCCATTATTAGCCATAAAAATTAATAAGTATAATATATTTTTTAAAAACCGGGCCAGACCTGAAAATACAAAACCCGGGCTGGGGTAAAAAAAATCTTAAAAAACCGGGCCGGGCCGTGCAAATGTTACCTTTGCAGGTCTCTGATTTGTATATAATTTAATATTTACAGCAAAGTTTTAACCCTCTTCTATAATAATTTGGGAATGTTTTATGAGTATCTATTTTGTCTAGATATTATTTCAATTAGTGATCTGCATTGGGCCTAATTTTTCAAGCCCGGCCCGGTCCGAAATTTTTTTAAAAAAGTTTTACCGGCCCGGCCCAAACCCGAAATTTTTTAAAAAAAAGTTTGCCGGCCCGGCCCGAACCCGATTTTTTTTAAAAAAATTTACAAACCCGGCTCGGCCCGATTTATTTAAATAGAGAAATTAATTTTTATAATTACTCAAAATAAAAGACATATGTTATATGTCGTTTAATTTTAGTTTTTATATATAAAATCAAATATTTTTATTTTACATATAAAATTAAATATAAAATTGATAAATTTACATATATTTAAAAAAAAATCCAAAATCCGACCCGACCCAATTTTTTTTTTTAAATATTAGGCCCGGCCCGAACCCAATTATTTTAAATAGAAGGCCTAACTTTGCAGGTCTCTAATTTCAATCATGATTTTTAATTTAGAGCTAGTGGGGCTTGCCAAACCCTATACGTCAATTATGGTAATAAATATGAAAAAAATATTTCAAAACTTTGAAAAAAAATTCCATGGCTGTATATAATTGGCAGGGTTGGAAAGTTGGTCAATTGACCGTCATATACTCCAAAATGTTATTGGTGAATAAATATATTGATTTAATTAATTAATATGTTTAAAGCATTTATACTCTAAAATGTTATTGGCAAATAAATATATTGATTTAATTAATCAATATATATTTAAAGCATGTTTATCAATCTAATTAAATTACAATTTATTAAAAGTATATTTTCATCAAGGCATCGAAATTATAATTTTATATAAAATATAAAATTTTCATATTAAAAGATTAGAATTTCATAGAGAATTTTTCTCATTATTAATTTGATTACATCTCAATATATAAATAAATATAATAATTTTGCTAAAGCATGGTTTTAGAAAATTACTAATTCCCAATTTATATTACATTATGTATAATTATCCAAACAAGATTGGCATCGTCAATAATATGTAAGGAGCAAATATAAATCTGCAAGAAAGTTCTGAAAGTAACTGTCGAAGAAGTTGAATATTTGTGTAAAAGATATTACCAAAAATATATTAAATGAAGAAATATTTTGGAGGAACAATGTATAATTTTGAACAATGTATAATTTTGAACAATGTATAATTTTAAACAATTCATTAACATTTAGCTCTCTAATTGTTGTATTTGCAAAGGGATATATGTACCTTGGCCCATGAATTTGGAAAACACATAATTCAATCATGCCATGATTTTATAATTTTTCCACCTGGAGAAAAAAAATAAAGATAATGTTGAAAAAGAAAAAACAATCCAAATACATGTATTTATTGGATCCCCAATATAAGGGGAACATCTTACTAGTAGTGAGTTTGATGAAGCATGTGATATAATTAGATATGTGCGCCGCCGGTCAAATGCGCCGCCGCCGATGATTTTGACCACCTGGACGCCGCGCGCCAATATCGGCGCTCAACACGCTGCCGCCGATGTAAAAATTCGGCGGCGTGATACATATTTTTTATTATTTATTTTATATATTATTTATGAATATAAGAAAAATATTAAATATTTTTTGAATTATTAAAAAATGCGATTTTATTTTTTAAAATTAATAAATATTATTTGCTATAAATTTGATTTGTAACAATCCTTATTCGCTCACTTTGGGCAGGTTTGTGACCAACGTGCTAGATAAAATAAGATTAGGACATTAAATTTGAAAAGGTAAATCTATATTTTATTCTTTTATTTTGATTCAAATTTACAACTCGTTATATAAAATTTATTTTTTATTATAATAGAAATTTTATTTAATGATTTTTATTTTGTTGCCATTATAACATATATAAAAATACCAGGACTAAAACAATTATAATGGATGCAGCATTGCAATACCCTGTAACAAAATATAGTATATCCTTGCAAGCAAAACCTTCTTTTGCATGGAAACATTTTGGATCCTTAATATTAAAAACTGACACAAATAATAAGAGAACCAGTGTTGTTACAGATAAAGTCTTTTGTAATATATGCTTGCAAATAGCACTTGATAAAGATGGTGAGGATGAAAATAATTCTTCATTTTCAGAGTAAATTTTTTGATTATTTTATAAATATTAGTAAATTTTTTAATTAGTTATCCAATCAAATCTTTTTCAAAAAATATCAGCACATCAAATATAATAAAACATTTACTTGACAAACATGATTTATCATGTAAAGAAGAAATATCTACAAAATTTAAAGTTATTTTTCAAACCTATTGTAAAAGATACAACTGACCCTATAAAAGATAAAAATTGGATTCTGGTAAGGAATTATGTTCTCATGTGTTGCAAGGATTTAATGCCATTCTCTTCTATAATTAATACTGGAATGCAAGATTTTCTAAAGGTTATTTGTAAAATCATTATAATTTTTTATAGGGCAATCTTAATTTTTATTTGTTAAGATATTTAATTATTTTATAACATCCCACATTTAGAATTTTTTATGGCATAATATTTTATTATTAACTTTTTATTATGTAGAAATATGGCATTATTTCAGATGCCAAAGAATTACCTGACAGAACTACACTTAGCCGGAGTGGATTAGATGATGTTTATTTATCAATGAAAGCATACATATGCCAACAAATTAATGTAGGTCCTAAATTTTGTGCTATAACTTTTGATATGTGGACAGACAAATATAGACGGCGAAATTATATCACCTTTACTTTTCACGAAATAGATAATAATTTTAATATTGTATTTTATACATTGGCGACACATCATGTCACCCAAAAACATACCGCTGAAACTATTCTTTCCGAAATAGAAAAAGTTGAAAATGAATTTGATTTAGGGTCCAAGAAAATTCAAATGGTTACGGATGCAGGACCCAATGTAAAGAAAAGTGTTCGTCTAGGAGAATATGACCATCATTTATGTTTGGGGCATGGATTACATAATCTAGTGACAGTCGATGGAATAAAAAAAGTTAATAAAATTGAAAATCTCATTAAAAAAGTTAGAGAAGTTATAGTTGCCTTAAGATTCAAAAAGCGGATTTTGAAAATGTAAACGATATAGAAAATGTTTTGAATCGATATCATAGACATCGGATATTTTAGATTTGGATGATAATGATCCTTTTTATGAAGATCGTTTGGGGTATGATGATGATAGTGAAAATCAAAAATCATATGAAAAAAAACATAAAACCTTAAAATTAAATGTGCCTACATGTTGGCATAGTATTTTAATAATGCTGGAAAGTGTGACTGGCAATAACAAAAATCCTATAAATATTCTATTAAATAGAATAGAGAAACCGGATCTCAAATTATTTAACTCCGATTGGGACTTGGTGTATGAACTTTTAAATTTTCTTAAAACCTTCAAACAAACTGTTGAATTTTTATCTGTCCAAAAAGGAGTTACTATAAATTTAGCCTTATTATTTCGTAGTGAAATTAAAAATCATTTAATTGTAAAAGAAAATTATAGTCCACCCATAGCATCCCTTAAACAAAATATGCTTACTAAATTTGATCATAGATTTCCAATAACCGATCTTCAGGTAGTATTTTAAAATACATAAATTATTTTTTATACATTATTCTTTTTTTTATTTTTTTTACTTAGGTGTTAGGAGCACTTTTGGATCCTCGTTTTCAATCAATAAACATAGTAAATGAATATTTAAAGGAAAAAAATATTACTCCGGTTGAATTTTTATGTCAACACGCTACCTCTCTACGGTCTTACACGGACGAATTAAACGAATGTAAAACGACGGAAGTTGCTTAAAACTCGATTATCTTAAGTCATTGGCTACGAAGCATTCATCTATTCAAAACAATAACCTGGAACAACAACACTATTTAACTAGTTTAGAAAAAGAGTGTTATTCATTATTTTCGCCTTAATTTGGAGATGATGTCTTAGATTTTTGGAAGATAAGAGCATTGGATCTTCCTAAACTTTCAATATTAGCTAGAAAGGTCCTGTGCGTTCCAGCTACAAGCACACCCAGCGAGCGTGTATTTTCTATAGCTGGGCTCACTCTGAACTCTAAAAGATCATTATTATGTCCTTTAAATCTTAATAAAATAATATTTATTCATGATAATTATAACTTAATAAAATCATTAAATTATAGTTAAAACATAATAAAGTATAAATTTTATTTTAAAAGTCTTTCCAATGAATTTATAAATTTAATTTAAAAAATTTAAGTTAGAAAAATATTTGACGCCGCCGCCGATTTTTGTGGCGGCGTCTAAATCGATTCGCCGCCGCCAGCCGATCATTTTAAAAAAAGAAACGCCGCAGCCGAAAATGCTGTCGGCGCACATGTCTAGATATAATACAAGAATTAGGCATTCAAGTGGATGATAATCAAAATATTTTCATGATATTGATATCAGAGATATAAATAGCTAAAATATATGGAATTTCATAAAAAAACAATCAGATTTCGGGCTCAAGTTGTTGGAATGGACTTTGCTTACCTTGAAAATTAATAGTGTCTAATATTTTAATAACAATTCCTAGTTATACTTCTTTTTCAGAAAGAAATGTGTCTGTTTGGGGTATATTCATATGAATAAAAGAATCGATTGAAGATTTCGGCAACCAGAATATTGGTAAGAGTATATAATAACTTAAGATTGATTAAAAATATTAAATGAAAATGATAAAATTGAATATAAACAGAACAAGACTCTGCCATGGAGAGGGAAACATTAATTATACAATTTAAAAAAATATAATTTAATATTACTAGATTCATTTTTTTACTATTATATAATATAAAATAGTTAACATTGTTTTAAAAAACATTTATTTGAATTACCATATTTGATCTAAGTTCCAATTTTTATATATAATTAGCTTCAATAAAAGTATTAAATTTTAAACAATAAAATTATTCTATTCGTATCATTAAGTATAAATAAAATGCATTTCAATTCATTATAGCCTAAAAAAACTAATGGTTTAGGAAGCCCCTTGTAGTAGTTTGCCTAACCGCGCTGTTGGGGCTTGTTTGGCAAAATTTCAACTTTTACAAAAAAATTCCAAAAATAAGATTATATATAAAAATATTTACAAGGCACCTTTATAAAGTATAGTTATAGGTAGACATGTGCGCCGATAGCATTTTCGGGGGCGGCGTTTCTTTTTTTAAAATGATCAGCTAGCAGCGGCGTCAAATATTTTTCTAACTTAAATTTTTTAAATTAAATTTATAAATTCATTGGAAAGACTTTTAAAATAAAATTTATACTTTATTATGTTTATAACTATAATTTAATGATTTCATTAAGTTATAATTATCATGAATAAATATTATTTTATTAAGATTTAAAGGACTTAATAATGATCTTTTAGAGTTCAGAGTGAGCCCAATAGAAAATGCACGCTCGCTGGGTGTGCTCGTAGCTGGAACGCACAGGACCTTTCTAGCTAATATTGAAAGTTTAGGAAGATCCAATGCTCTTATCTTCCAAAAATCTAAGACATCATCTCCAAATTATAAGGCGAAAATAATGAATAACACTCTTTTTCTAAACTAGTTAAATAGTCTTGTTGTTCCAGGTTATTGTTTTGAATAGATGAATGTTTCGTAGCCAATGACTTAAGATAATCGAGTTTTGAAGCAACTTCCGTCGTTTCAGATTCGTTTAATTCGTCCGTGTAAGACCGTAGAGAGGTATCGTGTTGATATAAAAATTCGACCGGAGTAATATTTTTTTCCTTTAAATATTCATTTACTATGTTTATAGATTGATAACGAGGATCCAAAAGTGCTCCTAACACCTAAGTAAAAAAATACAAGAAAGAGAAATAATATATAAAAAATAATTTATGTATTTTAAAATACTACCTGAAGATCGATTATTGGAAATCTATGATCAAATTTAGTAAGCATATTTTGTTTAAGGGATGCTATGGGAGGACTATCATATTCTTTTACAATTAAATGATTTTTAATTTCACTACGAAATAATAAGGCTAAATTTATAGTAACTCCTTTTTGGACAGATCATATGATTTGATTTTCACTATCATCATCAAACCACAAACGATCTTCTAAAAAGGATCATTATCATCCAAATCTAAAATATCTGATGTATATGATATCGATTCAAAACATTTTATATTTTCTTATTTTTCAAAATCCGCTGTTTTGAATCTTAAGGCAACTCTAACTTCTCTCACTTTTTTAATGAGATTTTCTATTTTATTAACCTTTTTTTTATTCCATCGACTGTCACTAGATTATGTAATCCATGCCCCAAACATAAATGATGGTCATATTCTCCAAGACGAACACTACTTTTCTTTTGGGTCCTGCATCCGTAACCATTTGAATTTTTTTGGACCCTAAATCAAATTCATTTTTAATTTTTTCTATCTCGGAAAGAATAGTTTCAGCGGTATGTTTTTGAGCGACATGATGTGTCGCCAATGTATAAAATACAATATTATAATTATTATCTATTTCGTGAAATGTAAAGGTGATATAATTTTGCTGTCTATATTTGTCGGTCCACATATCAAAAGTTATAGCACAAAATTTAGGACCTATATTAATTTGTTGGCATATGTATGCTTTCATTGATAAATACATATCATCTAATCAACTCCGGATAAGTGTAGTTCTATCTGGTAATTCTTTGGTATCTGAAATATTGCCATATTTCTACATAATAAAAAGTTAATGATAAAAATATTATGCCATAAAAAATTCTAAATGTGGAATGTTATAAAATAATTAAAATTAAGATTGCCCTATAAAAAATTATAAAGATTTTACAAATAACCTTTAGAAAATCTTGCATTCCAGTATTATTTATAGAAGAGAATGGCATTAAATCCTTGCAACACATGAGAACATAATTCCTTACCAGAATCTAATTATTATCTTTTATAGGGTCAGTTGTATCTTTTACAATGGGTTTGAAAAATAACTTTAAATTTTGTTTAAATATTTTTTCTTTACATGATAAATCATGTTTGTCAAGTAAATGCTTTATTATATTTGATGTGCTAATATTTTTTGAAAAAGATTTGATTGGAAAAGTAATTAAAAAATTTTCAAATATTTTTAAAATAATCAAAAATTTTACTCTGAAAATGAATAATTATTTTCTTCCTCACCATCTTTATCAAGTACTATTTGCAAGCATAGATTACAAAAGATTTTATCTGTAGCAACACTGGTTCTCTTATTATTTGTGTCAGTTTTTAATATTAAGGATCCAAAATGTTTCCATCCAAAAGAAGGCTTTGCTAGGAAGGATATACTATATTTTGTTACAGGATATTGCAATGCTGCATTCATTATAATTGTTTTAGTCCTGGTATTTTTATATATGTTATAATGCCAACAAAATAAAAATCATTAATTAAAATTTCCTATTATGATAAAAAATAAATTTTATATAATGAGTTGTTGAATCATCAAAAATTAATAGAATAAAATATAGAATTACCTTTTCAAATTTAATGTCCTAATCTTATTTTATCTAGCACGTTGGTCACAAACCTGCCCAAAGTAAACGAATATGGATTGTTATAAATCAAATTTATAGCAAATAATATTTATTAATTTTAAAAAATAAAATCGCATTTTTTAATAATTCAAAAAATATTTAATATTTTTCTTCTAATTAAAATTCATAAATTATATATAAAATAAATTAATAATAAAAAATATGTATCACGCCGCCACGCCGCCGAATTTTTAGATCAGCGGTGGCGTGTTGAGCGCCGACACTTTTTGGCGCGCGGCGTCGGCGTGGTCAAAATCATCGGCGGCGGCGCATTTGACCGGCGGCGCACATGTCTAGTTATAGGTATTGATTCATATATTGTTCTCCATAATATTTAAAAAACATAGGAGTTATAGCCGATTTTTCAAAAATCGGTTCGACTAGCCCCAGTCTCTCATATTTATAAATGGAAATGCAATTTGCATTTCTAACCAATTAATATAGCTAATTTTAACAACCATCATAATCATTCATTCCTTACCTCGTATCAATTATCCTCTCTGACCAATTTTTTCATATTTCAAGATGGATATTCAAGGGTTTTGAAGTAGAGCAACAATGCTTATGGTTCAACGTTTTTAGTGCATAGGTCATTAATGTGATTGGCAATAGTGCCCCTATCCTTCTCTTTCAATTTTTTTCCTTTCTTATTTTGCCATAATAATAATTTATCATTTTTTCTGTGGTATTCAATCCTAACAAAAATGTAGGCCTTTCATTTTATAGGCGCAATGATATTCGCGCTTTTCCGTTATATACCAAATTAATCCCTAGTCGAAACTATATTAAAATTCTGATGAAATTACATGTAGAGATTTGGCATGCGAGAGTTTTTGCATATTAATATTTATTCAACTATACGTAATGATAATATATTATAAAATTAAGTCGTTTTCAATAGCAGCAAAATATAATAATGTATTATATCATTATATAAAACTCATTTTAATATAATAAAATAAACAATTTAAATTAAAGATAATTTGTAATAATATATAAAGGCAATTTAACCATAATTTTACTACGAACTCAGAGTCGTTCATAAATTAAGGTTAATTCTATAATGGCCGTGATGGTTTTTTCTATTTTCCGTTCTTTAAAACCTTTAGCCGCGTGATTTTTTTAATACCCCCCTTCTTTTCCCAGAAGCCTTTACCTTAATAATAATGATATACATATAGTTACTTAATAGGCATTTATTATTAAAAATTGCGCTACCATTTTTAGCGATATGATCATGATAGTGACAATCGTGGCAGAGCTCACTATCATTATCGTCATCGGATTCGCTGGATGAAATTTGGCTGCCGGAGGTAGGTGAAACATCGTTTTCTAACGTATCAGGTTTTTCGTAAATACAGCAACCTATGTGGATATATATTTTAAATTATTTAAAGATGAATATTAGTAGTATTAAAAATATCTTAATAAATTTGAATTATAAAACATTTATTATATATGGCATTTTAATAGCAAAAAAGTTACTAAATTCAAATAGTTTAAACCTTATATTAATTGGATAGAATCCGTGATATTATTAATAAGTTTTTTTAAAGGACAAGTGTTATAGCTAAAGGCTCGGACAAAAGGCAAGATTTTTTGGCTAGCCAAAAGCAAAAAATCAATACAAAAACGCCATTTCTGAAAAAAAACCCAAAAGCAAAATTAGAAACTAGAGAAAATCAATTTTCATAAATTTAACATTTATTTTTAAAATTTTTAAATAAAAGCAAAAAATTATATCATAATGTATAGTTTTTAATCAATCATTAATTAAATGATGAAAACCGACACTCATAAAGAACCATTTTTTATGCTCCCAATTTTGATATCTCTAAAAGTATAATAGCTAGGATGCTGAAATTATGCTTAAATATAAATTATATAATTTGTATGCAAAATTTTGTAAAAATCGAATTTCGTCCGAAAATCTGTTTTTTAGGTATTTTCTGTCAACAAATAATCTTTTCGCTTTCTAGAATATTTTACTCGTGACTCTAGAACACTGGCTAACTTTTACTTGTTAATTCATGCTAATTCGCCAATCATAAGGCTATGCAAACGGTCTACTTTTTAAAAAAATTATTACTCGAAGACTAATTTTATATTTTTTTTCAAAACGGAACAAGGAAAAGGAGAAACTATTACATAATATTTAAATAAATTAAAGATAAAAGCAAACACTTGTGATTTTAAAGAGATGTAGTATTATGTGATAAATTAGTGTCGGGAATTACGAATGGAAAAATATTAATGAAGTTAATCAGCACTCCAGACTTGGCATGGAAAAAGGTTATTCAAATAGCTATATCAATGAGATGAAGGAAATGCTATATACATTATCTGCAGGAAATGAGATAAATAAAATTACAAAAACAGTGACAAGGGAGAAGAAGTATAATTATAAACCAGTATCAAAAACTATTTGTTATTGTTGTGGATTAGAAAACCACATAAAATCAAAGTGCCCAAATTTAAATGCACATAATTGTGGTATAAACGGACATTTACAGAAAGTATGCAGAAGGAATCGTGGTAAGAAAGAATATAATCGAATAGATGTACCAAAAAGAGGGTGAGAAAGTTTTTAGGATTGGGATTCTCCAGAGGAGTTCTCAAAAAATGTGAGGTTAAATTATTGATAGATAAAATATATATTAATTTTTTAATTGACACAGGATCGGCAGTCTCCATTTTGAATAAGAAGACGTTTACCGTTTAAAAATACCAATAACAGATATTATTTTAAAATCTTATAATAATTTAATGATTTAGAGGTAAATGTTGTATATTACCCGTTAATTATAAAAATAAAATTATATATCAAGAATAATTGTAAACAATGGTATTAATTTGATAGGTAGAAATTTAATAATAATAAATCAATGTAATACAATTAATCTGGTTTGGGGGGATAGTATTAAACAAAAATTTTCATCATTATTTATTAAGAAATCGGTTTATTGAAAGATTTTAAACCATGCTTATCGGTAAAACCCAACCCCAACTTTCAAGGTCTTAAAAGCAGATCAACACCATGCGCGGAAGACAAAATTGGAAGCGGAATTACAACGATTGGAGTTCATGGGAGTTTTAGAAAAACTGAAATATTCGAGTATCGCTTCCCCGATCTGTGGTGACTTCCGACAGATGGTCAGTACAAATATTTTGATTGATCAATATCCTATACACAGAATTAATAAATTAGCCATACTTAGACCTGTGCGCCGCCGGCAATTTTATTCACGCCGGAACAGCCGCCAATTGAGATCATCGACGCGAGCCGGATCGCCACCGATTTTTTTTATGGCGGCGGGGCGGCGTATATATCATATTTTATTTCCACATACATAACATATTCACATATTCATTATTTTTATGGACTTACACGTTTTAAACCACCCTATATACAATTATGAAATAACCTCTCTACTAATCATAAATCAAGTTATGTCTGGAGGTACTTTGGGAATCTTATTTTGAAGAATGAAAATAAGAAAAGCACAATAATGCCTGATTATATTTATTGTGAACCTTGCTTAAAATTGGGGAAAAAAGATGAGGAAAATTCGGATAAACATAATCCATTTTCACAATAATTTATTTTAATTTTAGACTTATATTTATATACAATTTATATTTTTGTTAAGAAATAAAATATTTTAGTAAAATATAAGTATAAGTAACATTTCTCGACACTTAGTTAATGTTCATAAAATATCAGAAATAATTAATAATAATAAATCCACCAAAGTCTAAAAATGTTTTTAAGCCAACACCGAGATGTAGCAACAATATAAAAGATGAAAAATGGCCCTTAAGCTAGTATTATTTTATTATTATTCATTTTAAATTTTTAACTGGTTTATTAAATTAATTTTATTAAGCTTTATTTTGAAAGTTCAAAACAACTAAATTTTTAGTTTGTTTATTGTCAGCTCTATTTTGAGATCTTTTTATATAATGTATAAACTTGATATACAAATTAAATTAATTATGTAAAGCTTTATTTTGAAAGTTCAAAACTTAATCAAATTTTTCATTTGTTTCATTCCAGCTCTAATTATTTTATTTTTTAAATATCTTTTTGATGTATAAAATAAATATGAAATCTAATAGGGCGAAATTATGTTTTGATGTGCTGCTTAGATTTAATGTCGATTCTATAAACAATAAAATTTTAATAAAATGATTATTAATAAATAAATTGCTTAAAAAATTAGAAATATAAAATAATTGATTCCTAGTCAGAATTGCCTAATAGGACAACCATTTGTCGGGGTGTATTAGATATGTTTATTTATCTATAAAAGCGCATATTTTAAATCTGATTGATTCTGGACCAAAATTCTGTTATATCAATTCTGATTTATGGACCGATTATTTTAAGCGCCGAAATAATATAACATTTATTCATAATAATTTAGATGAAAATTTTGATTGAATATATTTTACTCTGGCAACTAGAAATGTGACACAAAGTATACTGGGGAAACCATATTATCTGAGATTGATAATATTGAAGAGGAGTTCCTTTTAAAAGTCAAAATAATACAAATGGTAACTGATGCTGGGGCCAATGTCAAAAGAAGTGTCAGATTGGGAGATTATAAACATCATTTATGCTTAGGGCATGGACTTCATAATTTGGCTACAGTTAATGGTATAAAAAAGTTGCCAGAATTAATATTCTCATTTAAAAATTAGAGAAATTATTTCAGCCATCAGATATCAAGTAGCTGATTTGGAATGTGAAATTAAGGCTAAGCATCGTAAATGTCTGCAGACAATTTATGAAATAGGTCATATCTTGAATATTAATGATTCTGATCCATACCTTGATAACCATTTTATATGTCTGATGAGGCGGATAATAGAAATGGCATTGCACCAACCAATCTTATTAATACAAACTTTAACATTAAATTGCCCTACACGCTGTCACAGCATATTAATTATGCTAAAAGTATTCGCTGTGAACAAAATTCCTATAAATAATGTTCTAAATAAAATAAAAAACAATCTTTAAAACTCTTTAATAATGAATGGGATATGATTGATGAGCTTTACGCGGTATTAAATCCATTCCGAAAGTCGGTGGAATTTATTTCCTCCCAAAAGGGACCGACAATAAACTTAGGATTATTAATTCGCAGTGAAATAAAACCCATATACAAATTAATAGATCTGATAGCTCAGATATTATTTGCTTAAAAGAAAATATAAAAAAAGTTTGACCATAGGTTCCGCATTGAGCTTCAGGTTATTTTATACTTATATTAATAAAATTATATTTTAAACAGTAAATATTAGCGACTCTACTTGATCCCAGATTTCAAAATCTTAAAATTGTTTCAGAATATTTAAATTTGAATTCTACGACATCATTGCAAATTTTAATTAGATTTTAAAACTTTTAGAATGATAGAAATAGAAATGCACATTGTGAGATTCAAGTTGAAGATAATGAGCAAACATCCAGTTCTTATATAGCCAAAATAGTGTAAATATTCCCTCCCAAGCAACGATTATAACAACATTAGTAATATAGGACAAGAATGTCATATTTTGCTCAGCCAACATAATATCCCAGAAGAGGATGCATTAACCTTTTGGAAAAAAAAGCAACGGGAACATCCTAGGCTTGTTAGCTAGGAAGGTTCTGCCGTCGATTGAGATATCGGCGCACAGGTCTAGCCATACTAAATAATGGATCTAAATATATGGTATTAGATATATCAGAAGAAATAGTACTAGATGAGGAGGCGAAAAAGATGTTAGTGATGAACACGCCAGTGGAATATATCGTTTCAATGACTTCTGTTTGGGGTAGCTTCATGGCCAGCATTTTTCAACAAGCAATGAATTCGTTATTAAAAGGACTACCTGGGATAGAGGTATATTTAGACGATATAATAATTACTGGGAAATCAATTGAGATTCATAAAGGAAAAGGTCCGATCAAAAAAGGAAAAGGGTCGATCATAAAAAAAAGGTTCAATCAAAAAGAAAAAGTCCCAGAGGCTTAGGTAAATCCGATCAAAAAAGGAAAATCGTTATTTTTAAATATTTATCAATTTTCTTAAATTTTTATTATTCCTTTTTATTTTATTTCTAACATTTTGCGATTTCTTTAAGTCATTTTTAATCTTTATTTTTCTTATCTTTTCTCAATTTATTTTTTTTCTCATTTTCTGATAATTCATTTTATCTTTTTAAAAATAATTTATAAATTTTCCCTTTTATTTTTCTTCACTCTATATTTTATGTCATTTTTTAAGAATTCTTTTTTCTTTTTTCATCCTATTTAACAATATTTTGACTTTGCATGATTTTTTTCTCCTTATATTGTTATCTTTTACATA